TGAACCTGACTAGTCTGAAGGGAAACAAGTCTTCAAGTGGGAAAATGTTGAATATGTAAAGTCATATTCCCATGATTGTAAGAAACTTTCCTATTTTAATTGGATGTCACGTGATTTATATCCCTTCTATAATATTTCCTATTTATATGGTGAGCATATTTTGTGGGATGGGAATCTTTTAGGATGGAAAAATCTCTACATGTGCTTATAGAGAGATAAGACTTCTCATTTCTAAAAGAAAGGATTGGGAGTAAAGAGATATGGGCCTCATGTGGGTATCTTTGGGAGACTTATTATAATCCTAGTAGATGTAGGAAATCTATGAGAATTAGGAATAGGGTAAAGATGGGTCACGTGAGTCTCTTGTCCTCTTTATATAAGTTGTATTGCAAAGAAAATAAAATAACATATGGAAAAAGTGAGAAGTAAAATATAGAGAAAACATTTAGTTTTCTTTAATCCTTTTGGGTGGGTATTCTAGTGAGAGAAAGACCATGTTTTAGGGCTTCAGAGAGAGAGAGAGAGAGAGAGCTTGTAATCCCTTGTATTCTCCATGCTTGCATGGTGTTTTTTTTATTATTGGAAAAGATCTTTGTGGCCCTGTGGACGTAGGCAACTTGCCAAACCACATAACTCTTTTTGTTTTTGTTCGTTTATTTTTTTGCATTATTTTTCATTCCCTTATTTTTGCCAAACCTTAGTTTTTTATCATCTGCAATAAAGATATCATGTGCGCTCCCCATTGAAAAATATGAAAGGAAAAATTGATGATTAACTTTAAGGATAAGTATAGAAAGAGGCCATTTACTTATGAGGAGGTCATAATTATTCTTGTATGTCACATTTTTAAATGGGGTAGTTGTAAATATGTTATTAATTAGACTTAAAGTTTATATATATATCAAACTGAGTGATACACCTCAAGCCATTCAATTTGACATCTGATGATTATAAGTGATTATGACATATTTATAATAATAGAAAATGAAAAGTTGTTCATGAGTTGTAAGAGCCACTGACTCAACAACATCCATCTTCATGATGGATGTTGTAAATAACTCATAGAGCTTTTACGATGTAAAAGTATTTAAAAAAATAAAATCACATTTTAAATATCAAAAATATTATTTTATTTTCATGTTCATGATCATCTTAACTTAGATCATAAATCCCTAAAAATTTAGATTAAAAATCCATTTAAAGATGGTTTAATGGGGGCCTGTATACATAGTATGAGTTAGCTGACTCATAGAAACCTCATCCAATAGAAAATGATCTCGTTGTGGGAAAAGTTTCTATACTTACCCTACAACATAGATGATCTTCCAACCCATCCAGCCGTCCAATTTAGATCAAGTGAGTTACTGATCGTTTGATCTAGATCCAATGCCTCAGAGTATTTTATTTTTAGTTTTTTGTACAAATTATTTGAAAATAAAATTTGGTACATACCTTATGAGGCGGACCTAAAAAAAATATTCTATAAGATAGACTTTGAAAAGGCCTATGATAAGGTGGATTGGAAAGTGCTTCAGTGTATCATGGGCAATATGGGTTTAGATAGAGGTGGGGGTTATGGATTGAGGGGTGTCTTTCATCTACTAATTTCTCAATTCTCATAAATGGTAAGGCAGCTGGATTCTTTAGGAGCTCTAGAGGTTTGAGTTAATGTGACCCCCTATCACCTTTTTTATATACTTTGATGGCAAAAAGTTTCAGTGTTATGCTAAGAGGTGTTTCTTCACAGGGTCTCATTTTAGGCATTTAGGTTGGAAACAACGATCTGACTGTATCACACTTACAATATGCAGATGACACCATAATTTTTTGTGATCCAAATGTTATGGAGATGAGTAGATTATAGATATTTCTTAAGAGTATCGAACTTGCAAATGAGTTGAAAGTAAACCTCTCTGAAACCAAGCTGATTGGTATTGGATGCTCTCAACCCATAGTATCAAGAATGGATGGATTGCTAGGATGTGGTGTTGAGAAGATGCCTTGCAAATATTTAGGTATCCCTTTGGTGGAATCGAGGCCCTCAAAGTCTCTATGGGATCCAATAGTAGAGAGATTTAATTAAAAAATTGGTTTTGTGGAAAGCAAAGACTTTATCTTTACGAGGTAGATATATACTTATTAAATCATGTCTATCCAATCTACTAATCTGCTACATGTCCTTATTCAAAATGCCTAAGCAAATTGTAAGGGTTCTAGAGAGATTAATGAGGAATTTCTTGTGGCGAGATGATGAAAAGAAGAAAAAACTTTATTTGGTTAGTCAGGTAAAGGTGTGCACACCTATGAAATAAGGAGGTTTGGGGATTCGCATTTTGAAAAATATGAACTCTGCATTACTTATAAAATGTTGGTAGAGAGTCCATACCCAACAAGATCCCTTGTAGATAGGCATTTTGAGAGAAAAATATGGTATGGATCGGAATTATAGTGTTATAAAGAGCTCAAGAAACAAGGCCAGTCTCTCCCATATTTGGAATTGAATTGATTTTGAGAGACTAATCTATCCATGCCATTTTCAGAAAGTGGTGGGTAATGGGGAATCCACACTCTTCTGGTTTGATAAATGGTGTGGTGACTGCCCTCTCAAATACCCATTCCATGAAGTGTTCTCTAAAGTCTCAAACCCACTAGCTACAGTGAAGGAGGCTAGTGGGAATGCTCATACTAACATTGTTTGGTCTATTCATTGCAGGTACAGGAGAATGACTTATACTTTTATTTACGAGTATCAAATCTTGCTAGATATGTTAAACAATGTTCAGCTCTTCCCTAACTTGCAGGGGATGCGATCTAGGATCTCACTACCTCAGGGGACTTTTCGGTAAAGTCAGTGTATGCTCTTATCTTTTGTGATCACCATAGACAATTGGACTCATGACTTTTCCAGATAAATAAACTTTATGTTCCACTTAAGGTTCAATTGTTTTTATGGATCCCGTGTCAAGATAAGCTAGCCACAATAGATAAGTTAAAGAAGTGAGGATTCAATATAACCATTGTTTCCATTTTGTGTAAAGCTAGCGACGAGACGGGCCAACACTTATTCCTTTCGTGTCCCTTCATCTTTGATCTTTGGAGCCGCGCCAATGTTTTAACTTATCCATACAAATTCCAAAACACTGCAGATTGCTCATCGCTCAGTGGTTATCCCCTAGTATTCCAAAGGTGGGTAATATCTTATGGCGATCTTTATGGGTAAGTGTCCTTTGGGGTGTGTGGAAGGAAAGAAACCGAAGAGTTTTCGAGGGAATCAACACATAATTTGCTATGCTTAAATATAATATTATAGCCTTAGCAATATATTGGTTTTCCTCTTACAAAGATAGTGGCTCTACCTCAAAGAGTCTTGTCATTAACAATCCCTTAGCAGTAGCGACCTTAGGCAATACTAGCTTTAGCCGAATAGCTGCTATTTGGTCACCGACTCCTTTATGTTCTATCAAGTTGAACTTTGATGGCAACAACTTTGGCAATCCAGGTGCAACAAGCTATGGCGGGTTGATTATAAACTACTTGGGCCACATTTTGTGTTCATGTTTAGGCCCATGTGGAATTGCTACTGCAAATGAAGAGGAGGCTCAAGGTCTCTTGGAGGGATTGAAACTTCTTTCACAATGGGAATGCGACAAGATTATTGAAGGAGATTCGGCAAATATCATAGGTTGGAGCCAAGAAGAATTCAATGTTCCATGGAATATTAGATATTAGAATATTCTCTCATCATTCCATGTTGATTTGCAACATTCCTTTCGTGAGGCGAATGAGGAGGCAGATTGTTTGGCTAAAGGAGGTGTTAATTCCCCTTCTTTGGTTACCAATTTCTTATGATGTTCCTTTTGTTTTCTTCTGGTAATTTTTGTATCTTATAACCCTCTTTTGATTTAATGGAAATGTTGCGTTAAAGTTAAAAAAGAGAGGGAAAAAAATTATATAAGGTTGCAACTTTATAATATAAAATTAAGGTGTATATCAAAAATCTATCATAAAAGGTTATTTTGATGTTGGAAATCCCTCATCTCAACATCGAAATATATGAATATGAAAATAAAAAAAAATTCGAGCCAAAAATTAGTGTATCTCACAACACATTATTTAAACTGTCAATTTTTTAGATTTTTTTGTATTTTATAGATCTAGTGTATGGGATTGTGACCATTTACTTTTTGTATAAGGAGGTCACAACTATTCCCACTTATTAGATGTCAAATTGGGTGGCTTGGGGTGAGTCACGAAGTTTGAAATTTTTTTTTTTTTGAACTTTGTGTCTAATCAATTACACTCTTACAATCACCCATTTTGAAATCTAAAGGACAATAATGATTGTGATCTCCTTGTACAAAAGGTCTCTTTGTAGACAATCCCCTATTTTATTTGAGCCATTTTTTAAAATCAAACTTTCTAAGGATTCTTTAAAAGAAACCATTTATCTTTTGTATATAGAGGTTACAATCATTCATATTCATTAGATCTCAAATTGGATAGCTTGAAATGAGTAACAAAGTCTGAAATTGTCGTTTTGTTGAACTTTGTGTCTATTCAACAACACTCTTACAATCACCCATTTTAAAATTTAATGAACAAAAATAATTGTAAGCTCCATATATAAAAGATAAGAGTAATGATACTGTGAGACCCTTCCACACCCATGAGAGTAGGACTTCAAAGGATCACCATTCAATTTTGACACAGTTCTCTAGAAAACCTATTTACCCAAGTCCCATACCCGCGTTGTAACTTTTATAAAAATCTGTGAAAAAATTTAATAATGATCCTTTGGGGTCCTACTCGCATGGGTGTGGGAAACTCTCATAGTGTCGTTACTCAAAAGGATAAATGATATTTTTATGGACAATTTTTTCTTAATTAGATATCAAACTAGATTATGAAGTGATGCTAAGAATTTTTTACACCAAAATTATATTTATAATAAAATTTGGACCCTCGCCTTGTTTAAGGTTCAACCATTCCCGCCACAGCCCTTCACTAAGGCCATTTAGTTGCCGAATTTTCGCTCCAAAAAAAGCGACTCAAAGGAGGCACGGGAAAAACCAGAAATCCGGCCACGTAATGACCGGAAACCGGAGGAACCTCTCCGGAAAAACGAGAAACCCTGGAAAATAAGAGGAAACCCTAGGAAGGAATTTGAGAAGTCATTTATTCAGGCAGCCAAAAGTGGCCGAAAGCTTCAACAGGTGGCCATGGCTGATAGCTTGAGAAATGTCAATGTACGGAGCCTCGATGGCCACACTGTAAATGTGTCTATCTCCCACTCTTCAACAGTCGAGGACCTCAAAACGCTATTGAAGGAGTGCTTCTCACCTGCAAAAAACTCGCATGATTTCCATCTCTTTTGCAGAGTAATCTGTTCTCATCGCCTATAAGTGTTTTTATTTGCGATTAATTGGAGTGTGATAAAGAGATCATGTTCTGAAATTTATAGCTGGAATATTTTTATTTTTTTCAAATAAGGCGAAATACTGAAAATTTACTCAAAAAATCCAGATGTTTGGACTGAACTTTGATGAGAAAATGATGGTGAAGGAAATGGAGAATTTAGGTTGACCCTGATTCTGATAAAATGTTATAAAATTAGGTGCAATGAACCAGAGTATTTGGGGAAGATTTTAACTACTTTTTGTCCGGCTTCCCCTTCCAAATTCCACCAAAATTTGCCTTGAATTTTTTTTTCCATCCTAAAATGTAATCGCTTCCTTATAAACTGAGCAATTTTGTTTGGAATTGCAGTTAGAATTTCTGTTAAAAAAAAGCACCTTGGAAATTACAGGATCATATTTTGCTATGGTTTTGCCATTACTGCTCATATTTCATTTTGGCTTCCCCTTGAGTTTTTCCTGCTATCAAAGCGACTATAAAATTTGGAATTTGTTTTTTCCCATCCTAAGATGTAATTGCTTCCTCATGATTTGTTTTTGTTCTCATCATGTCGAAATTATATCTAGTTAGATAACATATGCCATTTTGAAATTCATATATAATTGGCTATTCTGTTTCTTAGTTTACTTTTTATATATTTGGTGTCGTCTTATGGCCAAAATGGTTTCATTTGTTGATAACATACAGATGGTCTATATATCCAAAACCTTGTTTCGATCCTCTTCTTTTGATACATTAAATTCATAATGAATCCTAATATGCACATTCTTGTTGCAGGGTACAAAATTGAACCCTAGAAGTCAAATAACTGATCATGATATTGAATCTGATAACTTTTTAGTTCTTGTTCCTTTTGTGAAGAAGAAACGATGTGTGGATGAAGTCAGCCCACGCATCATACATGGTGACTATGTCAAAGTCCCCAAAAGCCATCGAAACCAAGTCCATAATGCATCTTCTAGTGGGCCCAATATCTCCTCAAATTCTTCTTCTAATGCCATTGATTTAGACCTACTTGGGGTTTCTCCATCTCAACAAATTCCCCATGTTGACAAGTCAATCAAAGCCACCTTTACTTCTTTTGCAGAGGCTGCATGGTCAGATATAATGCAGGATCTTTCCTCCCTGCCCAAAACCTTGGATGATGAAAATAGTAGATCAACTATAGATGAAATGAATAATCTAAAAAGAGAATCAGATTTGTTGTTCAATCTGTTTTCTCACATGGAAAAGAACTCTTGTACCACTACATGTTCATATGTGATTGAAGTTTTTGACAATGTTGGATTGGAGTCACTTTGTCACATTCTTTACTCAGTGAATTGTTTGTCTGGTGAGCGGTCAAAGAAATGTCTGGTGCTCCAAGAATTGTGTGGATGGACATCAGTAGAAGTGCCAAATGGGGACTTAATGCCATGTGCTAAGAAAAGAAAACAATGCTGGTGCCCTTCATGGTTGAGGAAACTGCTGAAATGCTTTACTTTCTTGAACATTATTTGTAGTTCTTTGCGACTAAACTATGAAGTGGTTACTTGGAGTATGGTCAAAGGTGTGCTGCAGCAAGTTCAAGGTTTTGGGTTTGAGGAGGTCGGTCTTGATGATTTTGAGCATCTTTCCATTCTTTCCTCAAAGGTAATTAAACGATAAAAAATTCAAACATTTTTGCCAGTTTTTATGTGTTTATTTGTCATATCCATGCGCGTAAAATATGTAGTCAAATGACAAACTCCTACTTAAATCCTTGATATTTTGAATAGTAAGTTGCTGTATGTGTTTCCAATCCTGTCTATTTCCTGTGGTTGATATGCCTTTGGCTTGAGTTGCAGTTGATTATGCATTTGTTACTTATAATGTCTGTTCTCCTTGCAAGTTTTTTTTTTAAATAATAAACTGCCTTAATAGTTTAGGTTCTAAGAAATAACTAGGCCCCCTGATTTTGTAAACAATCAATATGGATGTGTTTGAAAGGGACCAGTTCAGATTGGCAATGGGTTACTGCCATTTTGATAGTTTATGGATATTTTCGAGGACCTAGCGAGTGTATGCTATTCTTATGTTGGAAGTACAGAGAGAGGGGTTTGGGCGTTGATACTTAATGGTGGTACTTGGTGAGATCTGTATTTATCGTCTGAAAAAAGTGGTGGGATTTGTACATGCCCTGTCCATCTTTTGATGTGGATACCACTAGAATTCCTTATTTTGGAAGTTGAAGTAACAAGATGAACAGGTATATTGGATTTGTGTTGGCTTGATCAACATTTTTACCCTGTATATCTGAAAACCTCACCCAATTGTGATTTAAAAAGTATATGCAAAAACTTATGTAGAAGCAGCTTTCATGATTTGATAGCCCTCGACTTCCCAAATGTGGAGGCTTCTTTGTTTATTGGTTGATATCAGTGATTCAAAAAACAGATCGGTGACATGGATCGGGCACCCTAAAAACTGGTCTGGATCGATGAATCGGCGGTCCAGATTGCCGTTTTATTGTGCGGAAAAAAGAGTGAACCAGTGAAAAAACTCGTGAAAAAGCAATGAATCGGCCAAAAACCGGTATGGATCGTCGTTTTACTGTGTGGAACTGCTAGCTCACTTCTAGACTCGGTCATTTTTCTATATATATGCAAAAATCGGAATAGGGTGACCGATTCTCTAGTTCGACCCGGTGATTCCGTGCCAACCCAATTTTTTTTAAATCAATGGTTGATACAAAGGTTTTGAAAAGATCCTGAAGGCTTGTAGATTTGATCAACCTAATGAGGGAAAGATGTACGAGTCTAAGGCCCAATACATTTTAATTAGGGAAATATCACATAGACTATATTTGACTTCCTCAAAGAATAAAGGATATTATGTAGAACAGAGTTCTAAGTTGATTTCACTCATGTAAAACCTTAGTTACTCTGTCATGTGATCTACCATGTTCACCATCATAAGTGAAAACTCAACATGATTTTGGACAGGATGACAACTTCCGTAAATTTAATCACATGACGTCAACTTGGACAATTTGAAAGTTTCTCTCTTCACATTCGTGGCTAATCTTTGATATGGAATTTTAAAGACAGTTATGAGTGGTGTACTTAGTAATCCTAGATGCCACTTTTTAAACGAATAGTAATTTGGTGGTAAATTATTTTTTCTATGGGAAATTTATCAAAATACACATTAGAGATGAAGTATTTAACATTTTGCTCATTTGCAACTATTCCAACTCAACAAGGTGTTTTTCTATGGGTATTTTGAAATTAAATTAAAAGGTATGAGTAAAGTGTTATACTGTTCATCTCTCATGGATAATTTGATAAATTTTTGTTTTTTAATAATTACTTTAATCCCCTATTATGTCTTTTGACAATCTTCTTTGACCCTATTTGAAGTGTTCCGACTTTCGCAAAGGAGCATAATGAGACAAACCAATATTTCGATAGTGTGTTGCTAGTTCCTGTTAAGGAAATAATTAGTATGGTTCCTTTTTCAGGTAGTAGTATTTGGTGGTCGAGGAAATAGACTAAATGAGCTTGATATTACAATTGATGTCATTGATTCTTCAAGAAGAGCCAAAGGTAACAGCAAAGCTATCAATAATGTGAGCGCTGGTGCGCATTTGGCTTTGTGTCAAGCATGAGTAATTCTTCTTCTTTAGTGATGTTTGAAGCTAAAAGTATTTTTATCTGTGTGGTGCTGATATGTTTCTTGTCTTTGAATGAATCACTTGAAGCTGGAAAGCAATTGTCCATTCAGGATCTTGTGAACAGCATAAAGAAGCGACAAAAAACATTTGAAAGAGATCTGTCAATTGCCATCAATTATTTCAAGGTATTTTCTCATTGTCGTCTTGATGCTTTTGTGAAGGTTATTTATTTCACTAGAAATGGCTCAATATTTTACTATGACCTTCTAAGCTAGATCAGTTGATGATGGGCCTTTATGCACTTTCAATCTTTTGTAAAAAAGAGACAATGGGGAATGGGGCATGTTGAATTTTGAATATTTCAATTTGCAGCTATTGTCTTGAATTCAGAAAGTAATGTAATACGAACATTTTCATTTCGTTCTGTTTCTGAATTATGGAACTAATGTGTTTATCTAAACCTGATTAGTAAAATAAATAAATTTCCTGAATCAAAAACTAACAATAAGGATTGAATGAGGTATGCATGTTCCACTGAAGCTGCTGAAATATCAATGATCGAATTTGTATATCATGCAATAGTCAGTCATATCATTAGCTCTTCTGGTGATTTGACTTGGAATTATAAACTTTACCTCGTCATTCACAGTGAAACCACATGCAGGACCATGTTGTTTCAGGAGTTCTTCTTGCACCAATATGGCATGGTTTATGCTTGTAACTCTGCAACAAATAATACAGAAAATACTTGATGTGGCATTTTATGATGTTTGTGCCCTTGAGCTTATGGATTTAGTTGTAAAAGTTGGTACCCACACAGACACCTGCATGTATGTATGCATCATGAAAGGGATGCCTTGATTAATTATAGCTTGTGTATATTTTATTTGCTTCTTTGTTTAAGAAAGTTTTACAGCAGGTAGGTTTGGGATACTCATTTTCTTAATGCTACAAACTGCCTTGAGTTCCCTCTGATCAGCAGCAAAAAGAAATTCGTGGAGATGGGACGCGCCTTTTGTTTTCTCTGGAAAACCTACTCAAATCTGTGAAGGAGATGAGTTATGATCCTCAAAACACTATCAAGGGCAATCTATCAACAAGAGCTAGATCAATGGCATCAGGCTTAATGAAAGTGCAATCAAGGTGCCTGGTATGTTTCTCTACAGCCATATTTTTCTGCCAGTGGTTAATATGCCCGCACTATGCTTTAGTGACTTGGCTAAAGTAAAAATCACCATCTATTTTGAAATCTGGGAATAACAGACTGCTCAGCTGAAATAGCCATTTGTGAAGTCATTTCTTTGTTTTAGCTTATTTGCTTTTGTTTTGTTTTTTGTTTTTTTTGTTTTGAAATTGTTAACTGTTGTATTAAGAGTGGAAAGGGGTACACATTGTATCTACGAGATCGCCCACAGGCCGAGCTTCTCGTCAAAAAATGGGCTAGACCAAAAGGGCCCTATACAAAAAATGGGCTTATAAAAGTGCCCAATACAAACGATGTACATGAGGAGCTAGTGGTTCCAAAAAGTCGTGACCACAAAAAACCAAAAGTGTGGGACCCAAAGGAATATCCAATCCTTAGACGTTTATGGGTCCTCGACTTGAGCCGCCATGCCTTCCTTAGCCAGACGGTCTGCCAGGGCGTTTGATTCCCTCCAAATATGCCTCCATAAGACGGCTGTACCCCTACAAATGTGCAAATCTCATCATAAATCGAAGCAAGGTACCAAGGGGGAATTGATTTCCCAGAAGCCCAGGTCATGACATTTTGGGCATCTCCTTCCACTATTAGAGGTAGGCCCCAAGCTGGGTTAAATAATTTGAGGCCCTTCAAGGGAGCCAAAGATTCTGCCGTCTGGGAGTCAAAGTGACCTATAGACTCTGAGAAAGTGGCCAGAATGTTGCCTCTGTGGTCACGGAAGGTTTCTCCAACACCTGCTGCACCGGGGTTTCCCAGCGAACACCCATCAAAATTCAGTTTAATGAGACCAATCTGGGGTGGAGACCAGTTGTTGGCTTGCCCAACCCTCAGTGTTTGGAGGTTAAGGACATTTTCCCATTATTGTAGGAAGGTTGCTGCTGAGATGCCTTTAAAGGCCTTATGATTTGAAGCCCATAAAATGACCTGGGCGGTGATCTTGTGGAAGAGGGTCGTGGGTTCACATTTGACTCCGTGATGGTAGCTGCCATGGAAGCTTTCCAGAGTATCCTGCCTGCCTTTGTCCAATGTGAATCTAAATACATAGAAAGGAATGCCTGAAGGGACTCCGGTATGACCCAAGAGAGTCCGAAGAGGGATTCGACTCCAAAGGTTGAGTGCCAAGCTACATGTATGAAGAGGTGCTGCTCTCTTCTTCACAAAAACATATTACACATCGATTCGAGATGGGGATACTTCTGTGTTTTAATTGATCGACAGTTAGTGCCTTCTCGGAGCATGCTAACCAATTGAATGCTCGTACTTTAGGTGTGGCTATGGTAAACCGCACCTTGTTTACCACCGAAGTACGAGTGTGAGGGAAGGTGGGTGGTTGCAACAGTTTTTTGCAGAAAGATGCAACTGAGAAGACACCGGAGGGTGAGGGGGTCCACACTATCGTATCCGAGCCAGTAGGCAAAAAGGTTGAGTGTAGCAAGGAAGACAGAGAGAAAACCAGACACCTCGCTATCAGAAAAGGCCCTTCTGAAGGACGGGTTCCAAACCCTACTGCTGCGGCGAGATGGGCATCTATTCCTCAATGGAAGCGGAGGATTGGTTGCTAAGGAAAAGAGGGCTGGGTATGAATCCCTGAGTGGAGTGTGGCCCACCCATAAATCTGACCAAAATCGTATTCTGTCTCCTCTTCGTGGGTGAAAACGAATATTTTGTTTGAATAGGGAGGAGGACATTATAGATTACGAAGCCTCGGATGTCCTAGAAGGAGCAGTCCCTTCCGAGCTCCACATGTTAGGGTCGATTCTGTGTTTACTGCGAATTACTTGGGTCCACAGCAGGTTGTTGTGATTTGCTAGTCTCCACCACCATTTTTCGAGGAGGGCAGTGTTCTGTTTCCTCAAAATTCGGATCCCAAGCCCCCCCAGATGCTTTGGTTGATAGACTTTATCCCAAGAGATCTGATGGAACGTTTTGGATTCAGTGTCCCCCAACCAGAGAAAGTTCCTCATGAACTGCTCGAGCCGGTTAGACACTGCTGCCGGCATGTGGAACACGGACATAAGATAGACAAGGGTGTTTGCCAAGGTCGCCTCAATGAGGGTGGACCTACCAGCAAAACAGAGATATCTCTCTTTCCATCCTGCTAGCCAGCGGTCAACCTTATCTATAATATGTGACCACTGCCTTATTTTAGGTTTGCCCAAACCTAAGGGCATTCCAAGATAATTGGTTGGGAGGTCTTCCACTTTACATCCCAATCTGGAATTAGAGCTCTGGTTTCATTAGCGGTCAAAGCCACCCCAATCATAGTGGATTTCTCCATGTTAATTTTAAACCAGTGGCATACTTGAAACATCTAAAAAGAGGCGTAGGGTTGCCATCTCCTCAGGGACAGCGTCGATGAAGATGAATGTATCGTCTGCATATTGAAGGTGGGAGATATGGTCGGACCTCTAGGACTACTTTTAAAGCCTGAGAGTAGGCCAGCTTGGTAAAGTCGTGAAATCAATTGGCTAAAGACTTCGACTAAGATAGCAAACAGGAAAGGAGACAGGGGTACTCCTTGTCAAAGGCCCCTTGTTGACGGGAAGAACCCTTTCGGTGAACCGTTAATGAGCACAGAGAAGAAAGGATGAGAATAACAGGCCCACATCCATTTTCGCCATCTCTCCCCAAAGGCCATTCTAGTCATTGTTTCTTCCAAGATGGACCAGTCAACATGGTCATACGCTTTCTCCCAATCGATTTTGAAGATAAGGCTTGGTTTGTTTATAAGATGCCTTGAATGTAGGCATTCGTGTGCAAGCAGGATACCATCTAGTATTTGCTTGTCTTTTATGAAGGCACTTTGCGAGGAGGAAATCACAAAAGGAAGCACTTCTTTAAGCCTAGAGGCTAGAACTTTGGAGAGTATCTTGTAGGAAGAATTGACCAGACTAATAGGCTGACAATCTTTCAGTTCCTCTGCGCCCTCAATCTTAGGGACTAAAGCAATGAAGGTAGCGTTCATTGCTTTATGCAAGATGCCCTGGTGGAAGAATTCTTCAAAGAAGTTCAAGAAATCAACCTTGAAAGTGTCCCAAAAGGTGTTCAACGAAGCAACTGGGAACCCATCGGGGCCTGGGGCTTTGTCTATGCCCAGGGTTGAGACTGCTACTAGGATCTCAGTTTCTGAGAAAGGACATTCTAACCACTAGACCCAATTGGGAGGAATGTGGTGAAACTGAAGATCACCCATCCTAGGTCTTGGGTCCATTGGTGCCGAATAAAGGTTCTGGAAGTAGGAGAGGATGGCTGCTTCAATCTCGGGTGGTAGGTCCATGATTGTACTACCATCTTTGATTGTGGCAATGGAATTGCCCCTCCTCTTGCAGTTTGCTATACGGTGGAAGAAGTCAGTGTTGTTGTCCCCGTGGTTTAACCATTTTACCCTGGATCTCTGATGCCAATGAATCTCCTCTTTCTTGAGGGTGGAGAAATACTCTTGTTTGTGGTGAGATTTGAGGTAGGCTTCCGAGGTCGAGAGGGGACGTGATTTCTCCAAGAGGTCAAGATCCTGAATGGAGGCTCGGAGGGTTGATTTGTGGTGGGAGAAGTTACAGGGGATGGTTCTACTTCAGGTTTTTAGGGAAGCGTTAAGGAGTCAAATTTTAGTTTGCAAGATGTAACCAGCCCTACCCGAGACCAAGGGTGAGAAGGAGTCCCACCACTGGGGAATAAGAGAGGATAGAGGGGACTCTTCCAGCCGAGATAACTCGAAGCAAAAAGGTTTAGGTCCTCTCAGGATGGAAAGGTTATCCAGGAGGATAGGGCAATGGTCGGAGTAGGTTTAGGTACAGCCAAGTCATGGGAGCCGGGGAAGTCGTCGTCCCACTTCAGAGATTGGAGGAACCTATCTAGTTTAGAGAGGGTGGGGTTTGAGGCATGGTCCAACCAAGTAAAGAGATTTCCTTGAAGGGGGACGTCCACAAGCTCGTTACAAGATATAAAATCTGAGAAATCCAACGTCCCTTGCGAGATGTTGGAGTTCGAATTCCTTTCAAAAGACCATCTCGTTATGTTGAAGTCCCCCCAAGGCACTAGGAGGGGTGGGGGAGAGTGGCCACTCGGTCTAGTTCGTTCCAAAGCAGGGAACGTTGAGCCACAGAGTTCGGGCCATAAATGGCCGTAAACTTCCAAAGATACCCTTCCGTGATCCTGGACAGGAGGACAGTTACGGAGAAATCCCCCAAGGAGGAGACTAGAGGGTGTTTTCCAGATGCCCCCTGATGTCCCTACATCGGGCAAGGAGACGCATTGGCTGGGGATGCTAGTGGGATTGTGCTTTGCGCACAAGTCCCTTGCTGCATTTCGTTTGAGGTCTTGTCCACCCCCTCACATTCCATGACAGAAATTTTATGAGGATGTGAGAGGGTTGTGTGACGGTGCCAGCCTTGGGGACCTTCTTAGGGAAGGATCTGAGGAGCTAGGCTGTGCTACAAGCAAAATGGGTTGCCCCATGGAGGGCTTTTTTATCGTAGTTGATGCTGGAACAGAGGTTGAGGACCTCTCTTTGTCCTTTAATTCTCACCTTCAGCCTGCTTTGGGCATCAGCCTCGAAGAAGCGATGAAGTGGGCCTTTAGGTCCATTATGGGGGAAGCCCATTACTTTAAGAAATTCCTTGAAATCTGCCTGTCCGCAATCAATGCGGTCCATGAAAGCAGAATCCACCGAAGAAGCCATCAGAGGGGACTGGGACGAACTTCCCGACAAGTATAGAGAGGGGTCGGGCCAGCAGGTGTATTTGGAGAAGCAGTGGGCTCCTCGAAAGGGTTACCAGGGTATTTTGATAGGATATTAGGAAGCTGATAGCTTGTTTTCTTCTGAAATAACCAACACGCATTCATATAATTACCAAAATTGAACTTTGTTTTATTTCACATTTTATAATATTACTGTTGAACTAACTGGAAAGATTATAAATATTAATGAAGTATTGAATTGTCAGGAGACTAATCCCTTGATACCTGTGGACATGGTTGGGCATCTAACAAGAGGACTTGGATCTCAGGGGCAGGTAAGAATCACTATAACTTTGAAATCCTCTTGGATTCTCTCTCTAACGGTTATCCAAAACTCTCTCACCTTTCTTTTTATTTATTTATTTATCTGTTTAGCAATGCTTGCATAGGTGGTTCATCTGGAAGAAATTCATCCTAGAACAGCAGTTCATGTGGAAATACCCGATAATCTTTTACCTTCTACAAAGGCAGCACTTGAAAGGATGGGAATCTCCAGACTATACATTCACCAGGTATGTTAGGTCCACTCTTTTGCTTTATGGTTCAACTCTTGACTACATTTTATGTAGTTATTTGGTTTTCTTTGCAGGAAGAGTCCATAAGGTTTTCTCTTGCTGGAGAGAATGTTGTTGTGGCAACCTCAACTGCAAGTGGAAAATCTCTCTGTTACAATGTTCCAGTTTTAGAAGAATTATCTCGAAATCTGCAACTGTGTGCACTATATATATTCCCAACAAAGGTGCTTGCCCAGATGTCTCTCCTTGTATTGCATATCTTCCACAGGAATACATTTCATACACAGGCTGTATTCTATATCATATACAGCCGGGCCATCTATTATTTGTCCTTATCACTATTTGCTGGACTATAAACCAAAGTCCTTTGATAGGCCAGTGCAGATATTTAATGGAACTGCAGTTCATATATGCCATCCATTGATGAGGATGGATGGTGCATGTACCTTCATTTTTGAGAACTCGGAAGTTCGGACATAATTTTCTGAACCTTGTGAGGAAGGTAGCTCTGCTGGAAACATTATTCTGCATGCTGAGTTGGCTGCTTCCAACAATGTAATTGATACATGCAAATTATATTTCAATGAAAGATGCATTTCCATTAAAACTGAAGTTTGACTTATGGCACTAAATTGGATATGCATTAATGAGAAAAATTATTCTGCATGCTGAGATTGAGGCTTCCAAGAATGTGATTAATAAATGCAAATTCTGTTTTAACCAGTGTTTGCAAAATCGAACTGGAATAGTTAACCGGACATGGGGCCGGAAGCGATTTAACTGGCCTAACTAGTAAACCTGCCAATTCAACTGTTCTAACCGAGCAAGTCCCAGGGCGGTCAAAAAA